ACATTTTCTTCATGGTTCCTTCATGAGAAACACGCTAATTTACTAAAAGCAATGTAGGCACACAGTTAACATCCCCCCCCCCAGCGTGTCTTTGTTGTGATGTCCTTGTACGGCTTGTACATGGACTAAAGTAGTCTCGTGCAACCTCCTAATGTATGAGCATCTGTGTGTGAATGTGTTGTCTTCCTAAACGGATTGTGACTGCGTTAAAACAAGGCCCTCTGTAATTTAACTATAATAAAGCAAGTCAGAGATAAACCACCTCCCACGTTCACACTTCATGCAGTATGGAGTCACGTAACCTGGCAGACTTATCTGTAATGATAGTGGGAGTTTATTGAGAGATAATATTAATTTACTAGAATAAATGCGGTATTTAAACCCAAAAGCCACCAGTGATACCAAGTGATTCAGACTGTTTAGAAACTACTTGAAGATAGAAAGTAGATATGATATAGTTCTAACTGTGATAGATTTTATTACTTTTATTTTTACTAAAGCCACGTTTACCCACAAAATGGAAAGCATCATATGACAGCAATCGCAAGTGTAATTGTAATTGGGAGAAAACATGCCCACTGCTAAAACGATTTTCAGACTGACCAGGGGCAGTATTTTGTAAACTGCCAGTGCACTATTAAAACCAAGAATTAGTAACATATCAAATGATGTAGAAAAAAAAAAAAAACTGGATGAAAACTAAAAAAGCCAGACAAAGTTTATTGCAACAACGACTGCTAGGCAAAGTATTGATAAAGTTAGGGCAACAAAGTTGCAAATTGCTGTAATCATGACCTGCCATTTTGCAATACGCACAACTGATCTAAGTGAAATCATGAGAGCATATGGTCAGAGCAGTACATTGACACACATACAGTTGCACAGAAGCATGTGTTAATGCATAATAAAAAATATTATATCGTCTGCACTCAAGACTCAAAAGGTTCACTCTGTTTCTTCCACATGTCTAGTAAGTATGACAGTCACGAATTAAATCTAGAGCTTTTGATGTGAAGTGAGTTCAATATCACATTTTTTTGCCTTTTCTGGCTTAATTTCTGTAGTAGTTTGGCTTAAAATGACGGTTTAAAAAAAAAGATCTAGCAACCCTGCACACAGCAGGTTGAAGGTTGAAGGACCAGTGTTGCCACTTTGGATGTTTTATATCTAGATTGATTTAGATGTTTTCCCTTGCATTTAGATGACGTTTTTGACGGTTAGATGGTAGATGTTTTCTAGATGTTTTTTATTTGGAGTGAATTTATCAAATCTAACCTAAGAAACAGAATGAAATTGGACCTTTTAAATGCTATCTTGACAATAAAATTCGACCTGATAAGAGTAGGAAAAGGCTGTTCCACTTATCAGCTCCCTGATTGAGTATTAAAAGAAATTGGAACAGCTAAAGCATACAAGAGTAATTTTCAATCTGAAGCTTCAACTTCATCATCCAAGCTAAGTTTATCCTGTGGATCTTGTAAGGCAGACTTCAGTAAAGATGAGGACATGATTCTATCAATCAATCAGGTGCCGTCTTCACAATGAAGGTTGGCTGCAATGGATCTCCAATAAGCCCTGTCTCTTGCCCTTGATGTACACTCACTCATACTGCTGTTCGTCCATCTCTTGATGTTATCCTCCCAATTGTAACGCTGTCTGCCTCTTGCTCGCCTACCTTGAACCTTTCCCTCTAGGATGATCTTTACAATACTGTTATGTCTTTTAATGTGGCCAAAATATTTCACTTGTCTCTTTTTTATTTCACCTAGCAGCTCTCTTTTCATTCCCAATTTCCTCAGTACCTCTGTATTTGATAGCTTTTGTTTCCATGAAATACGACCCAATCTTTTGTATATCCACATCTCCAAAGAATTGATACGAATTTCCAGTTGTTTGTTCATTGTCCATGTCTCTGTGCCATACAGTAAGGTTGAGAATACACAACATTTGACAATTCTCAATTTTTTTTTTACGTATCCAGAAACCATGAGTTGTAAACCCTTTGGCTCGGTACTATGGATATCGCAACCTTTCGGCCTTGATTCCATTATAGGTACCGTTAATCTGGGAGAAATGTGGCTTTTCTGCCTACCCCCGGGAGTGAACCCGGACCACAAGGAGTTCGTCACCCGGCCGCCGCGAAAGTCAGGTTAAACCAACTTCGCTAGAGAGCCGGGCCTCATTTTTTTTTTCTATAGGGTAAGTAAGTCAATTGCTATGTAATTTGTGACTTTTGCCATTTGGATGTTTATTTTAGATGTTGTCCAAGCAAATTTAGATGTCTTTAGATATTTTAAAACTCCGTTTTGGATGTTTTTTTGTCAAAGAAAAGTGGCAACACTGTGAAGGACCAGTCTGGAACAGTGTTGCCACTTTGGATCTTTTGTATCCAAATTTAGATCTTTTTCATTGCGTTTAGATCCTGTTTTTGACGTTTAGATACTAAACATTTTTCTAGATTCTTTTCATATGGAGTTAGATATTTTATAGATTTTTTTTCTTTTAGTGTCATTTTAATAATTATTGAGCAAAATATTTACTAAAATATTTTTGTTTTGGTCTGGCACGTACATTGTGGCAACTGCCATTACTTAAACTTTGAACTCTCACTAAGGTTAACACTCAAATATCTGACAACCCCGGTGCTGATTAATCGAAATCGCGCGTAAATCATACTAACTTTGTTTCAACCGTATCCTCACTGTGTTGTGAAGTATAGCTGTGATGCTGACTCTGTGTTTCTTTTTCATGTGATTTTTTAAAAATAATTGCTCACCTTCCTGTGTGGCTTTCACTTTGAAAAAACCTTTCAACATGCCAAAAGTAAAGTATGAGCAAAAATTTCGGAAAGAGTATTTGCATGATGACAAAATTTAAGACTGGGTGATGGCAGTTCGTGAACGATATAACCAAGGCTCGTTGTAAGTACTGCAAGTGTGAAATTAAAGCGAAAATACAAGACTTAAAGAAGCATGCAGAGACTTACAAGCATAAAACTGCAGTTCCATTCAAAGATATTACACCGCTGACATCTGTTTTCAGAACTACACTGATAAATGAATCATCAAAAGTTGAAGGGTCGGTCGCAATGTTTTTAAGTTGCCATTGTGCAATTTCAAACTGTGACCATTTGATTGATTTGTTTAAAAACACAATTTCTGACAGTAAAGTAATGGATGATGTGAAAATGCATCGCAGCAAGTGTACATATATTATAATAAATACTTTATTTTCTCACTTCGAAAAAGATTTGATCAGTGATATTTCTACAAATAAATATAGTTTATTATTAGACGAATTAAATGATATTTCGGTACTGAAAGTGCTTGGTGTGTGTATTATATATTACAGCAACAATACAGACAAAGTAGTTTCTACATATCTTGGACTAGTTCAATTGGAAAAGTGTGATGCAGAAAGTATAGTTCAAGAACTGAAGAACCTTTTAATCGGTAAACAGTTAGACTTGACAAATTTGGTTGCAATTGGTACCGATAATGCCTCAGTGATGGTTGGCATAAACAATGGCGTTTATGCCAAGTTGAAGGAAGCTATCCCATCGTTAATACTTATAAAATGTATGTGTCATTCATTGCAGCTAGCATTATCACATGCTTCATCTGAATGTTTACCAAGGAATTTGGAATACCTTATTGCTGAAACACATAACTGGTTTTCAAAATCATTTGTCAGACAACAGCAATACAATGCATTGTATTCAGCCTTAAATAATGGTTCCACACCACTGAAAATTCTGTCAGATTGCAAAACCAGGTGGTTATCAATACAACCAGCTGTTGAAAGAATTGTGAACCAATGGTTGGAGTTAAAGACACACTTTGAAATAACAAGACAAAGTGAAAAGTGCTACACAGCTGAGATACTATATGGAATGTACAGTGATGAAAAATTTTTTGCATTCCTTCTCTTTTTACAACCTATTCTAATGGAAGTGCAAAAAGTTAATAAACTGTTCGAATCCAAACATGTTGATAAAGTTAAATTACTTGACGATCTCACTTTGCTATTTTACTCAGTTGGTAAAAGATTGGTGTTGTCAACTTCAAAAGTTGATTTGCTCACTTGCACTATAGAGAGCTATTTGGCTCCTAAGCCATACCTTGGATATCAAATTGAATCAAGAATTGATGATTTAAAAACAAAAGGACTGTTAACAGAGAATGAAGAGAACAACTTAAGAAAACGCTGTCAAGATTTCCTTTTCTCATTGTTCAAGCAACTAAAGCAGAGACTTCCTGAAAATCTAGATGTATTGAAACATATTTCACTCTTTTCTGTGAGCAACATACTTCAGCCAGTAAAGGACATACCTAAATATTGTAAAGTTATGAAATTTTTAGGGGCTACTGACAATAGTGTCGCGGAAGCAGAATATCAGTTAACCAAAATAAACTTAGTTGAATGGACAAACAAAACAGAAACTGAAGCGTTTTGGAGTGAAGTGAGACAATAAAAAGATGCCTCATCAAACAGTCCATTTGTAAACTCTTTGAATGTGCCATGTCTGCCAATGCTATCTTGACAATAAAGTTTGGCCTGATGAGAGTAGGAAAATGCTGTTTCACTTATCAGCTCCCTGATTGTGTATTAAAAGAAATAGGAACAGCTAAAGCATACCAGAGTAATTTGGGATCTGAAGCTTCAACGTCATCATCCAAGCTAAGTTTATCCTGTGGATCTTGTGAAGCAGACATCAGTGAAGATGAGGACATGTGTCTATAGGGTAAGTCATTTCAATAGTTTTGTAATTTGTGACTCTTTTCATTTGGATATTTTTTTAAAATATTTTCCACGCAAATTTAGATCTTTTTAGATATTTTTTAACCCCGTTTTGGATCTTTTTTGTCAAAGAAAAGTGGCAACACTGGTCTGGAATCTACCGCTGTGCGCTGCCTGTGTGAGAGGGAAGTCGGAGTGTTTTGTTGTTTCTGGGATATATTTACTCATTTTATAGAAGAGAATTATTATACACAGCAGACATGGCACTGGGCAGCTGTTATACGTGTATCAAGTATCTGATGTTTGCCTTCAATTTCATATATTGGGTTCGTATGGCCAGTTTGTAAATGATTTGTTGATGTGTATCTCACTGAGTCTGTTACTGTGCGTGTGTAATCTCTTGACACGGATTGCTGTACCAAAAGTGTACTGTGTGTGTACACTGTACTGTTACACGTGTCCAGTCTTACTGTGTCTATCTATATATAATATACTGCACCACTAAATGTATTCTGTCTTACAGTTACTGAATGCATACTGTAGTGTTAATGTGATGTTTTGTTTGTTTGTTTTAGTATCCAGAAGCCATGAGTCCTTAGGCTCGGTATTATGGATATCGCAACCTTTCGGTCTTGATTACATTGTAAATACCGTTAATCTGGGAGAAATGTAGCTTTTCTGCCTATCCCCGGGAGTGAACCCTGACCACAAGGAGTTCGTCACCCGGTTACCGCGCAATCCGGTTTAGCCAACTACGCTAGAGAGACGGGCCAATGTGATGTTTTAAAATGTACATGAAGTAAATATGTGCTTTCTTAATAATGTGTATGTACTTTATTGTTAAACGTGTACTGGGTACTGCCATACTGTGTGTGTTGTATTAAAGGTGTTGCCTACATGTGTACTTACTGCCTATGTGTTGTACTAAATGTCTACTCGCTGTGTATGTGCTGTGCTGTGTACTTGATGTGTATGTGCTGTTCTAAATGTGTACTCACTGTGTATGTGCTGTGCTGTGTACTTGATGTGTATGTGCTGTTCTAAATGTGTACTTACTGTGTATGTGCTGCACTAAATGTGTACTGACTGTGTGTGTGCTGTACTGAGTACCTACTGCACAGTGCAAGCTAGATATTGTGAGGTCCCTTTGGCAACCAGTGAACAGTGCCAATGGGCAGATAGATCATTATGGTCTGAGGAAAATGGCACTGCGAGGAATTACCAGGGGATCTGACCGATGCTCAACACTCAGGGGAAGTATGAGACGGGTATACAATCAGATTGCTACTGGTACCATCAGATTTAGAACTCTTCGCTTGCTGCTGATGATGGGGATGGAGCACTTATGGGAGTTTCCCAAATGCTGTGATAACGATTCTGAATAAAACATTCAACGTTCTACTGCACAGTATGTGTGTTACTAAATGTGTACTTGCTGTGTATTGGTTGTACTAAATGTATACTTACTGTGTATGTGTGGTACTAAATGTGTACTTACTGTGTGTGTGCTGTACTAATTGTATACTTACTGTGTGTGTGTGTGTGGTACTAAATGTGTACTCACTGTGTATGTCCTGTAATAAATGTGTACTTACGGTGTAAATGGTACTAATGCGTACTTACTGTGTGTATCCTGTAATAAATGTATACTTACTGTGTGTGTGTGTGGTACTAAACGTGTACTTACTGTGTATGTGTTGTATTAAATGTGTACTCACTGTGTATGTCCTTACTAAATGTGTAATTACTGTGTGTGTGTGGTACTAAATGTGTACTTGCTGTGTATTGGTTGTACTAAATGTGTTCTCACTGTGTATGTCCTGTACTAAATGTGTACTTGCTGTGTACATCCTGTACTAAATGTGTACTCACTGTGTATGTGCTGTACTAAATGTGTACTCACTGTGTATGTCTTGTACTAAATGTGTACTTACTGTGTATGACCTTCACTAAATGTGTACTGTGTATATCTTATACTAAATATGTACTCACTGTGTATGTGTTGTATTACATGTGTACTCACTGTGTATGTCTTGTGCTAAATGTGTACTCACTGTGTATGTGTTGTGCTAAATGTGTACTAACTGTGTATGTGTTGTGCTAAATGTGTACTCACTGTGTATGTATTATACTAAATGTGTACTTTCTGTGTATGTGTTGAACTAAATATGTACTTACTGTGTATGTGTTGTACTAAATGTGTACTCACTGTGTATGTGCTGTACTAAATGTGTACTTCTGTGTATGGGCTAAAGCAAATGTGTACTTACTGTGTATGCGCTGTATTAAATTTGTACTCACTGTGTATGTGCTGTACTAAATGTGTACTTCTGTGTATGGGCTAAAGCAAATGTGTACTTACTGTGTATGCGCTGTATTAAATTTGTACCTACTGTGTATGTGCTGTACTGAATGTCTACTTACTGTGTATGCGCTGTAATAATTTTGTACCTACTGTGTATGTGCTGTACTAAATGTGTACTCACTGTGTATGTGCTGTACTAAATGTGTACTCACTGTGTATGTGCTGTACTAAATGTGTACTCACTGTGTATGTGCTGTACTAAATGTGTACTCACTGTGTAAAAGTTAAGTAAAGTAAAGGACCCTTTTCCACGCCTTCAAGCATATTTGGTTATATTTTATAGACCAAAGGGCACTTGGTGAGTGATGTGATCAACATCACGCCACCACCTTTAGTTTCCATGACTGCACTGCACCTGGTACCCACTCAAAGCTGGGTCGACCTGGTAGCTGAGGCGTATGTGCTGTACTGAATGTCTGCTTACTGTGTATGTGCTGTACTGAATGTCTGCTTACTGTGTATGTGTTGTACTGAATGTCTGTTTACTGTGTATGTGCTGTACTGAATGTCTGCTTACTGTGTATGTGTTGTACTGAATGTCTGCTTACTGTGTATGTGTTGTACTGAATGTCTGCTTACTGTGTATGTGTTGTACTGAATGTCTGCTTACTGTGTATGTGTTGTACTGAATGTCTACTCACTGTGTATGTGTTGTACTGAATGTCTGCTTACTGTGTATGTGTTGTACTGAATGTCTGCTTACTGTGTATGTGCTGTACTGAATGTCTGCTTACTGTGTATGTGCTGTACTGAATGTCTACTCACTGTGTATGTGTTGTACTGAATGTCTGCTTACTGTGTATGTGCTGTACTGAATGTCTACTCACTGTGTATGTGCTGTACTAGACGTGTACCTACTCTTTTTACAATATGCGCTTTCTGATTTATTGGATTTGATTCAACAACCGACATCACAACACTCGGGGCATTCACATAAGCGCTCCGTCCCCATTTTCAGCAGCCAGCGAAGAGTTCTGATACTAATGGTGCCAGTAGCATTCTGATTAAATGTCCGTCTTGCCTTTCCTTTGAGCCTCGAGCATCTGCCAGAACCTCTCGTCACTCCCCCCTGCATCAATCTCACCAGACTGGTGATCCATCTGCTCCTCCAAACTGTACACGCTCTCCCACAAGGCCAGAACCACATCTGCCTTATCATGTATCAGTATTAAACCAAGTTGTGCAGAGCCAGCCAGTCTGTCCGTCTGTTCATTTTCCAACACACCGGCGTACCCAGTGGAAAAATCCAGACAATACTCCTCACCCGTGTCCTCTCCTGTGAAGCTTGCCACTCTACACAAAGCATACCTGTTCTGATCTTCCTCAGCATGCTTTCTGAGTCAGTTACAATCATGATGTGTGTGTGTGTGTCGTGTTCTCTAGCCAGCGGAAAGCTGCAGTGACCGCCTCCACCTCCATTCTTAAGCTGGATGTTGTGGTATCATATGCTAGGCTCTCCTGCACCAAACGCCGACCATTAACTTTTGCTAAGAAGCCCCAAGCACTTCTTTTGCCTCTTGAAACTTAACCATCTGATGCGCTTTCTGTATCAACCCAACTGTTGAATGTCACACAAAAAGAGCAGACCAAAGATTATCATTAATTAATGAGTCATTGCTACAAGCTAAATATTTTCTGACTACCACTAACGGATTATATGACCCACTGTCACTAATGGAGTGTGACCCACTGTTAATGGAGTCTGTGACCCACTGTTACTAATGGAATCTGTGACCCACTGTCAGTAATGGAGTCTGTGACCCACTGTTACTAATGGAATCTGTGACCCACTGTTAGTAATGGAGTCTGTGACCCACTGCCACTAATGGAATCTGTGACCCACTGTCATTAATGGAGTCTGTGATCCACTGCCACTAATGGAGTCTGTGACCCAATCCCACTAATGGAATCTGTGACTCACTGCCACTAATGGAATCTGTGACCCACTGCCATTAATGGAATCTGTGACCCACTGCCATTAATGGAATCTGTGACCCACTGCCATTCATGGAATCTGTAACCCACTGCCATTAATGGAATCTGTGACTCATTGCTGCTAGTGGAATCTGTGACCCACTGCCACTAATGGAATCTGTGACCCACTGCCACTAATGGAATCTGTGACCCACTGCCATTAATGGAATCTGTGACCCACTGCCATTAATGGAATCTGTGACCCACTGCCATTAATGGAATCTGTGACCCACTGCCATTCATGGAATCTGTAACCCACTGCCATTAATGGAATCTGTGACCCACTGCCATTCATGGAATCTGTAACCCACTGCCATTAATGGAATCTGTGACTCATTGCTGCTAGTGGAATCTGTGACCCACTGCCACTAATGGAATCTGTGACCCACTGCCACTAATGGAATCTGTGACCCACTGCCACTAATGGAATCTGTGACCCACTGCCATTAATGGAATCTGTGACCCACTGCCATTAATGGAATCTGTGACTCACTGCCATTAATGGAATCTGTGACTCACTGCCACTAATGGAATCTGTGACCCACTGCCACTAATGGAATCTGTGACTCACTGCCATTAATGGAATCTGTGACTCACTGCCACTAATGGAATCTGTGACCCACTGCCATTAATGGAATCTGTGACCCACTGCCATTAATGGAATCTGTGACTCACTGCCACTAATGGAATCTGTGACTACCACCATTGTCATGGGCATTGGTTTGGGAACTTTAATTATGATTGACTTGCAGCAAGTGACCGTATCAGGCTCACATTGCCACCATCTGGCCATTCTTGCTTGTAGAAAGTGACCCTATCAGGCTCACATTGTCACCATCCAGTCATCCTTGCTTGCAGCTAGTGACCGTGTCAGGCTCACATTGCCACCATCCAGTCATCCTTGCTTGTAGCAAGTGACCGTATCAGGCTCACATTGCCACCATCCAGTCATCCATGCTTGTTCAGTCCACAATCCACAGTTGAGAG